ACCCTTTTTGGCCCCGCCCCTCAGGCCCCTGGGGGCTTAGGACTAAACCGGCAACTATTTTTGTTGACCTTTGTCCATGGAAGGTCCCTGCAAAATTTCATTGAAATTGGTTCAGGGGTTTCGGAGAAGAAGTCGAAAATGTAAATTGTTTACGGACGCACGACGGACAACGGACGACGGACGACGGACGACGACGGACAAAAGGCGATCACAATAGGTCACTTGAGACTTTGTCTCAGGTGACCTAAAAAGTTTTAAAAAAGTTTAATACAGGAATCTTTTATATCAAGCGTTTAATCTGCAAAAAATGGTGAAAAATGTGCATTTTTTCATTAAAAAATAAGGGGTAGGGGTAACTAAAACCGCATTTCTTAGTAAAATGATTAAGAAATTTTACTTCCATAGTTTCAAAGAAAATAATATTTTTATCAATTCTACAAACATTCATACATATCTTATAACACACTTGGAAGAAATTGTATGAATTTGTTCTGCAAATGGTCAAAACCCGAAAATTCACCTAAAATCACATATTGTGTTAAATTAGTATCTTTGACCGATCATAGCACAAAAACGAACACACAGACATATTTTTGTTTGCATTTTCTACTATGCCATTAACTCCTTTTTCCAAAAATCAATAAAAGAAAAAAAGTTTAATACAGGAATTTTTTGACTTCTCAGAGGTCTACATCCTTAACCGCCACTTGAATCTTAATATCAAAACATTATTCTAAGCCTTATTGGAGAATTTTAACACATTTGACCCCTTTGACTTTGAAGATAAGTCTAACTAATTTATTTGAACAAATTGGATGGTCTTCATTCTACAAGCTAAAATCTGAACACCATTACTCTAGACCTTACAGATCTTAAGAATTAGTTAACCTGAATTTGAAGCTCTCTGTGACCTTGAAAAAGTCAACATCATTCCTCCAAAGCAACCTACAAGCCAAACATCTTGACTTAAAGTCTTTAAGTTATTGAAAAACTGTTTTCAGGTGCCTTTGGCTCAGGTGGCAAGACCCTTTTATTACATCAAAAACAGTGTTGGAAGCGTCATTCGGAATTAAGCATATAGTTTCAAATGACAATTGAGAAGAAATTATCGCCAATCAACAGTAAAATCAATTTTTGCCCAATATTAAATTTGCCCTTCACATTTAATTACTATGTATATTATGTTGTTAATAAATGTTTGCTGTAATGACAGATTTGCCCTCATGTAAAAATTGACAGAATTTTTAATATTGTTTAATGACCGTGATTGGAACAGCTTATTTTTCTTACTGATAAAGAGATGAATTAAATGATAAAATAATATCCATACCTACATTGTACAGGTTCATTGTTCTAAGAGACTGATACAGATACAATAGAGATATCAAATAACAACCACAGTATCAGTGCCTCCAGATTCCACTGTTTTCAAATAAATATTGTTAAGAGTTTGAAAATGTATGTATTCTGAATGTGAAACAATCTACCGAAGTATTTCAAAATAAGAGTAGCCCAATTTTACTGTAACTAAAGGAGTTCAAGATGATTGAATAATCATTAAAAAATATGAATGAATAATTTTAAGAAACATTCTAATGAAAAAAACACATATTTTAGATATATTTTCAATGTTCAGTTGATATGAACGGTAGTTGAACATGTAGTTAATCAGATGTTGTCAAACTGGAATATGGAAACGGTTTGATTAACAATTAGATGTATCTTTGTGAGATTGATTTTTGTTTCATTATAGAAAAACTCATGAACACAGTTTTATTTAAATTAGTTTTGAAAATAGAGAGTCCAGATAATGAGCTAAGATTTCACGGATAATATATATACAGAGAAAGAAATCGAGATGATATCAAGCAATCAGTAAGGATATACAATTTGGAAGTATTTTTTATATGAAAATAGTTAATTAATAAATCTTCATTTTGAAACTCTGAATAATATTGTAAATATTAAATAGACAAAAGGTGCATCTAAGCAACATCACTACGGAATGGTACATAAATATATATATAATAAAAGTCAATTCTTGGAGCACACACCACAGACTAACAATGCTATATATATAGATGAGATACTGTGGTTGCAGGAGAGTTGTCTGCCCTTACCTTTACGTCCTGTCATGTGATGCCCTTGGAGTGACGATTGAGGATATAAATAGATCAGTACAACACCAATAGGATGGGAGAATAAAATCACACAAATCTCTCATATGATGTCATAAAATACTCCGCTGAGTTAAACATAATTTTTCACACAGATATTTCAAGACTGATTGCGGCAACAAAAAAGTTAACAGAAGATTTATCACCTGGGCCCATTTATTCAAGTTTGATAAGCTTACTAAACTTTTAATAAACATTTCAAAATACAATTTTGGAGAAAAATCTCAAAAACAAATATTTTATTTTATTTTTTTATTTTCTGTGGATAGACATTAATGTTGAAATCTGATGTGTTTACAAGTAATTTTAATTTCTTTTTTTTTTTTAAATAGGTAATTATAAGATGAAAGTAATGTGTTGATAGATCATGAAGCTAACCAGGCTTTGGAAAATGGGCTACTGTATATAATTAAGACTGTTATATTGTGATACATCTAGTTTGTTGACAAGCATCATATGACGTCATACAACGGAACCAAAAGGAACGTAATGTCCAGTATACCAACAGTACTGTTTATATTTCAGAAAAAAGCTACAGGATTGTTTCTGGGAATTTAAAAATTGAAGTATGAAATAAAATTATGCGTACATAGACATAAATAGCTTACAGCAAATGATGAATATACAGGTATATTAATTTGAAAGTTAAAATTAGCAAACTTAACAAATAAATCAAAAATTCTAAGATTTCCAAATATATGCAAGAAAATGTTTAAGAAAATATAGAACTATTCATGATATCTCTCTATATAACTGTCAATCGTCCAGACAATAAATCATTGACAGAACAGACACCAGAACACTAGGAAACACTGTTCACAAAGCACAGAAATCAACTTAAAACAGGGTTAAAATAGATCTGTGGGGTAATCAAAAAATTGTTTTATCAAAACGAGTGAAGCAAAATAATATTTTCAAGATTATTGGGTATTGATTTCATCCATAACAAAATTGTGAACAGTTACATTTCCAATCATACTTCAAATTTCAGAAATTTCTGTTTGAATTCTAAAGGATATCTGAGGGAGGTTACCTGCTGTTTAGGGGTTTTAGATTTTATCTACAGCTAGAATTACAGTTTTACAGATGTTCTTTTGTAAATAACACTGTTGATGAAACCTCACTACCATAACAAACCTTGTGTGTATTGGCAGGGGACATAGCAACAGTACAAAGTGGAATACAATGAAACGGTTCTAGTAGCCTGACTAACCCCTCTACCACATGACCACAAAGCAGTGCCTATACCTACATCTAGATATGTGTCCACAAATATCAGGTTACTATACCTAACATTATATAACGTCATGGTGGAATTTTAAAGACTTGGATGCAGGCCTGGGGTTGGGTACATGTACCTCTGATCTTGGATACACAGTAAACATCAACAAACGACCAGTCCGTACACAATTTTAAACCTGCCTATTCTGACAAATACAGAAATAAAGTGCCGATGCCAAAATATTTTCAAAAACAATTTTTCAAAAATTCTTCAGTAAACAAACATTATCAGAATTAATGATAATAATGCATCCTTAGGAACCGGTGCTTTATTTACATTTAAATTTTCATTTGTATAAACTGTACACAGTCACATAATCAAAAAGTAACATGATGTTACGAGTTTTAATACACATTTTTTTAATGAATAATACAGGATTGTAAATATGTATTTAATTTCATATTACTGCAATGTAATGACAGTAGAGGTAAACAAGCTCAGCTACACAGCATGGTATTATCATGCATGTTCTACATAGCTCTAAATGTTTATAAATCATATATCAGTGATGGTTTCAGAAAAGTATACTGTGTATAGACTGTTTTAACTTTTGAATGTGATCATGCAACACTAGCACTGATGTTATAATTATGACCAGAATGACTAACCAATCATGGTCCTTGCATGAGAAAATGTTATAGGTTAAAAAGCACCTATAAACATTCAATACAAAAATTCACCAAATGAGTTAATGGGGAGGATAGTCACCTGTCGCCCAGTGTGCCACGGTGTGGTGTTCATTATCTAGACAGTTAATATCTGCGTCCTTCTTCAACAGGAGACGCAGGAGGGGGGCATTGCCCCCTATCACAGCCATGTGGAGGGGCGTGAACCCCTGCTCATCCTTGGAGTTGAGGAGATCCCCGTCTTTGTGTAGGATCATCTCCGCACATTGTGTCTCTAAGTTGTCGGCACAGTAATGTAGCGCTGACTTACCAGTCTTGTCTGCATCGCTGGCAGAGGCCTGTAACCAGAGTAATGTCATAGATATCTACAGAAATGGAAGTCATAGTTAACTGTATAATATCTGAAACATTTGTATTTATAGAGAAGTTATCATTACACAATGGTCATGTCCTTTAGACTTTTCATAATTCATAGATCAATGTGTGTGAATGTTTCATCAAATGTTTCAAAATCAGGCTTTTTTCATGAAGTAATGGTAAACACACATATGATAACTTACTGCAAAGCTTCAGATATCATTATCTATATTTACTAGATGCTATGTAAGAATCAGATATTATTATCTATATTTACTAGATGCTATGTAAGAATCAGATATTATTATCTATATTTACTAGATGCTATGTAAGAATCATATATTATTATCTATATTTACTAGATGCTATGTAAGAAATACCATAAAACAAACAAATTCAAGTTTCTCACTCAGAGGGTTTGTTATAACAAATGTTTGTTGTAAATTAATTCTGATTTTTTTTTTGTAATGCCTGCTAACATTCATTGCATGAATGTTCGAGTTTACCCTGGCCCCAAACCAAACTTTGACATTTTTACAGACAGAGGTCTGCATGGTGACATCTCCAACTGTCAAAATTCCAAAATCCTATGTCGGAACCAGAGCAACTTGGGTTAATATGAACATGATGGTTAGTCTGTTGAAGTTTTATCATTCCTCTTACTTTGCTTATTAAATAATTATAAATTATTGACTTTTCTTGGGGTGAATATGTGCATGGTTATATGGACCTGAGAAAGTGATATTAACGGAGATGAAGCTGAAATCAATATCACGTTTTTTTAGGTCCATATAACCACACCTGGTATTTACCTAAATAAAATACTGTTATATTAGATTCTAAATGATATTTCAATCATTTCACAAGATGGAATATATATAAATTGTCAGGAGGAAAGTACCAAACTGCATTTGGCAGAGAGCATTGTGAAGATACAATTGATGTCATCAAGAGATTATTAACCTGCTGTTTCTAAAAATAGTAACACTGAGTCAATATCACAATCACTGATCTCCACATGATTATGTTTGAACCAATGAGAATGTAGGAAAAATGTGTGTCCTCTAATATTAACTGTTTACAAAACTTTTTTCTCATTTTTATTTGATTTTTTTTAAAAGGATTGCTTCTGGAAACCAAAAGTCTGTCCTCTGGTCAACATACCCCTTTATCCAGGAGCTCTTTGAGTTGTTCTGGGTTGCCATTCTGACAGGCGATGATGACAGGCGTCATGCCATCATCCGCTGCCTGATCCATGACGTCCTCCGGTATGCCGTTATAAGTCTCTATCAGCTTCTGAAAGTACCTTGGATCCTTGTTGCCACACACGCGATGAAATACTGTCTTACCCTGGTAGTCCGCTACGTCTACCTCGGGCTTATATCTGAAAACAAAGAAAACATCATAAAATGTCTAGTTTGATAACATAATCAACTTGTTATGCATTAAATTTGTGATGTCAGATTTAAAACAGCTGATATCGCGTCATGCCATGGCTTGGTTTGGTCACATTTTGAACAGCTAAGGTCACTTAAGGACGTGCCTCCATGTGTGTTGTGTAAGTGTGCCAGTGTAAATGTGTGCTGGAGACCGAGTTCGTGCCATTGCTGTTGTCAGGTTGAAGAAAATTACTAAAGGTTAAGTCAAACCAGAAAATAATAAATAACATGCTCAGTAATGTGATGGAAGGTATTTTTCTTTTGTTTTTCTTTTGAGATTAATGAAATGTGCATGCATACGAGATTTTATAAATCTAATATGAAATGAAAACTTCTTTACTGTAATAAATCCTTTATGTATTATATATCAAGTAAAGTTACACTTCATTATTACACTTTGACACCAACAATATACTGCTGCCTGTTTATATATATCCCAGTTTTATTTGTGTCTAATTACTGTCAGATATATCTAATACCCCATTCGTCTCAATGTTTTTACATGAAATCAAAAATCTGAATATAACAAGGTTTGACTGCAGGTTTTCTGATATTATTAAGATATTATCCACTTACTGGTCAACGACTATTTAATTGTTTTATTTGTGACTGAACACAATTCTTGATGTTGTTTTTCATAATTAGGGAAAATTTATGAATTATCAGGAAAAATGCAGAAAAGATTAACACCAGGCATGTCTGGTCATATAAAATCTTCCATTTTGTTTTCATCAGTCACTCGATCCTGTATTCCATCATCTTTGTTTACATTAAACAGGTACTTTAACATCCAGTGTGATTGATACTTCAACCTTCTATGGCAGATTTAAACCTCTCAGGTCAATCACCTCAATAAATAACTGTTTAATCTGCTGTGTCCAATACCTAATATAATACGCAGTTTTATGATTCTACATACAATAAAAATTCTCCCTTCATTACCTATTGAATGATTCCGATACACCCATTGAGGTAACTTCATGCAAAAAAAGATTTTCTTGGGAATGAAAATCCATTTATTATATACAAAAAGAATTTAAAGTACATATTTAATGTTAACCCTAAACTTTTCTTTGATACACAACAAAACACAACAAACCTGACCATAACACTCCTGTTACAGTCTCCTATGGAGCACAGTAAGGAAAACAATTAAACAACCACCAGGGGGAAGGTAACCTGACCAATCACATTCAGACATCTCGGAAAGAAAACAAAGGTTTAAATGAGGTACAATCTGAAGCTCAAGTCAGTGAAGCCAGTAATACGTGGTAGGATTTTTATGGTTAATTTCACTCCATATTGATGATGTGAAATTGAATGCCAGTACACCGCCATTGACGTCATCGTTACTTTTGAGAAATAAATCCCGAACTGATTGTCTGTATTGGGTCTACACTGTGCCTATCTCGATCCTGTATCAGGTCTACACAGTACCTCTTTCCTGTATCCTTACAGTCACAGACAGTCTGTATGGGGTCTACACTGAACCTATCTCCTGTATCCTTAATTACATTCACCGACAGTCTGTATGGGGTCTACACAGTACCTCTTTCCTGTATCCTTACAGTCACCGACAGTCTGTATGGGGTCTATACTGTACTTCTCTCCTGTATCCTTACAGTCAGAGACAGTCTGTATGGGGTCTACACTGTACATCTTTCCTGTACCCTTACAGTCACACGACAGTCTGTATGGGGTCTACACTGTACCTCTCTCCTGTATCCTTACAATCAGAGACAGTCTGTATGAGGTCTACACTGTACCTTTCTCCTGTATCCTTACAATCACAGACAGACTGTATGGGGTCTAAACTGTACATCTCCTGTATCCTTACAGTCACAGACAGTCTGTATGGGGTCTACACTGTACCTCTCTCCTGTATCATTATAGTCAAAAACAGTCTGTATGGGGTCTACACTGTACCTCTGTCCTGTATCCTTACAGTCAGAGACAATCTGTATAGGGTCTACACAGTACCTCTGTCCTGTATCCTTATAGTCACAGACAGTCTGTATGGGGTCTACACTGTACCTCTCTCCTGTATCCTTACAGTCAGAGACAGTCTGTATGGGGTCTACACTGTACCTTTCTCCTGTATCCTTATAGTCACAGACAGTCTGTGTGGGGTCTACACTGTACCTCTCTCCTGTATCCTTATAGTCACAGACAGTCTGTATGAGGTCTACACTGTCCCTCTCTCCTGTACCCTTACAGTCACAGACAGTCTGTATGCGGTCTACACTGTACCTTTCTCCTGTATCCTTACAGTCAGAGACAGTCTGTATGGGGTCTACACTGTACCTTTCTCCTGTATCCTTATAGTCACAGACAGTCTGTATGGGGTCTACACTGTTCCTCTCTCCTGTATCATTATAGTCAAAATCAGTCTGTATGGGTTCTACACTGTACCTCTCTCCTGTATCCTTACAGTAACAGACAGTCTGTATGGGGTCTACACTTTACCTTTCTCCTGTATCCTGATAGTCACAGACAGACTGTATTGGATCTATGCAGTACCTCCTTCCTGTATCCTTACCGTCACAGACAGTCTGTATGGGGTCTACACTGTCCCTCTGTCCTGTATCCTTACAGTCAGAGACAGTCTGTATGAGGTCTACACGTCTGTATGAGGTCTACACTGTACCTCTCTCCTGTATCCTTACAGTAACAGACAGTCTGTATGGGGTCTACACTGTAACTTTCTCCTGTATCCTGATAGTCACAGACAGTCTGTATTGGATCTACGCAGTACCTCTCTTACAATCAGAGACAGTCTGTATGAGGTCTACACTGTACCTCTCTCCTGTATCCTTATAGTCAAAAACAGTCTGTATGGGGTCTACCCTGTACCTCTGTCCTGTATCCTTACAGTCAGAGACAATCTGTATAGGGTCTACACAGTACCTCTGTCCTGTATCCTTATAGTCACAGACAGTCTGTATGGGGTCTACACTGTCCCTCTCTCCTGTATCATTATAGTCAAAAACAGTCTGTATGGGGTCTACCCTGTACCTCTGTCCTGTATCCTTACAGTCAGAGACAGTCTGTATGAGGTCTACACGTCTGTATGAGGTCTACACTGTACCTCTCTCCTGTATCCTTATAGTCACAGACAGTCTGTGTGGGGTCTACACTGTACCTCTCTCCTGTATCCTTACAGTAACAGACAGTCTGTATGGGGTCTACACTTTACCTTTCTCCTGTATCCTGATAGTCACAGACAGTCTGTATTGTATCCTTATAGTCACAGACAGTCTGTATGAGGTCTACACTGTACCTTTCTCCTGTATATTTACAGTCACAGACAGTCTGTATGGGGTCTAACCTGTACCTCTCTCCTGTATCCTTACAGTCAGAAACAGTCTGTATGGGGTCTACACTGTACCTCTCTCCTGTATCCTTACAGTAACAGACAGTCTGTATGGGGTCTACACTGTAACTTTCTCCTGTATCCTGATAGTCACAGACAGTCTGTATTGGATCTATTCAGTACCTCTTTCCTGTATCCTCACAGTCACAGACAGTCTGTATGCGGTCTACACTGTACCTTTCTCCTGTATCCTTACAATCACAGACAGACTGTATGGGGTCTAAACTGTACATCTCCTGTATCCTTACAGTCACAGACAGTCTGTATGGGGTCTACACTGTACGTCTCAAGTATCTTTTCAGTCACAGGCAGTCTGTATTTGGTCTATACTGTACCTTTCTCCTGTATCCTTACATTTAGAGACAGTCTATAATTATGGGGTCTACACTGTACCTTTCTCCTGTATCCTTATAGTCACAGACAGTCTGTATTGGGTCTACGCAGTACCTCTTTCCTGTATCCTCACAGTCACAGACAGTCTGTATGGGGTCTACACTGTACCTCTCTCCTGTATCCTTACAGTCACAGACAGGCTGTATGGGGTCTAATCTGTACCTCTCTCCTGTATCCTTACAGTCAGACAGTCTGTATGGGGTCTACACTGTACCTCTCTCCTGTATTCTTACTATCACAGACAGTCTGTATGGGGTCTACACTGTACCTCTCTCCTGTATCCTTACAGTCACAGAGGGTCCGTATGGGGTTTACACTGTACCTTTCTCCTGTATCCTGATAGTCACAGACAGTCTGTATTGGATCTATGCAGTACCTCTTTCCTGTATCCTCACAGTCACAGACAGTCTGTATGGGGTCTATACTGTACATCTTTCCTGTACCCTTACAGTCACAGACAGTCTGTATGGGGTCTACACAGTACCTCTGTTCTGTACCCTCACAGTCACAGAGTCTGTATGGGGTCTACACTGTACCTCTCTCCTGTATCCTTACAGTCAGAAACAGTCTGTATGGGGTCTACACTGTACCTATCTCCTGTATCCTTACAGTCAGAGACAGTCTGTATGAGGTCTACACTGTACCTTTCTCCTGTATATTTACAGTCACAGACAGTCTGTATGGGGTCTATACTGTACCTTTTTCCTGTATCCTTACAGTCACAGACAGACTTATGAGGTCTACACTGTACCATCCTCCTGTATCCTTACAGTCACAGACAGAGTGTATGAGGTCTACACTGTGCCTTTCTCCTGTATATTTACAGTCACCGACAGTCTGTATGGGGTCTATACTGTACCTTTCTCCTGTACATTTACAGTCACAGACAGTATGTATGGGGTCTATACTGTACCTTTTTCCTGTATCCTTACAGTCACAGACAGACTGCATGAGGTCTACACTGTACCTATCTCCTGTATCCTTACATTCAGAGACAGTCTGTATGAGGTCTACACTTTACCTATCTCCTGTATCCTTACAGTCACAGACAGTCTGTATGAGGTCTACACCGTGGAGAGAGGTACAGTCTGTATGGGGTCTATACAGACTGTCTGTATGGGGTCTATACAGACTGTCTGTGACTGCAAGGATACAGGAGATAGGTAAAGTGTAGACCTC